GAGATCAGGGATGCGGTCATCAAAAACAAGTGTTTTGTAACTTATGCCAAGCTTTCAACCATTATTGAGGTGTTCATCTACAAGTAATAATATCGTTAATAATTAGTAAATAATAGTAGCACAATAATTCTCATATAACAATGGATAACTTACTCGTCACAATAATAATAATAATAATAATAATAATAAAGTGGGAAGTTTATTATTAATAAGTAAGTGACCGGCAAACACCTGAGGTCATCGCCGGCCTTCTCCGTGTTTTCCTTCTTTTTCTTTTCTTTCGTCCGTATTTTGTTTTAAACTGCAGTCATTTGAGCGTCTTGATCTGGTTACTGACTCTCTGATTTCAAATATGTCCTACGTTGGTATCCTAGAATGCTAGCCTCTCGTTTGTACCTCAAGTTGTCAAATACAGAATAGAAACAAAACATACAATACATATATACATCACCACAAACATAGATATCTGGTCACATTCACTCCCCCAGAGTACTCGATATTCCTCGGGGCGGGGTTATAAGCAACCCCTTCCTTTCACGCTAATAAATTACTTTTACTCTCCAGACGTCATTCACTCCCAGAGTTCTCGATATTCCTCGGGGCGGGGTAATAAGCAACCCCTTCCTTTCACGAGAATAAATTACATTCATTCCAATAAATTAACATAAAGTCAACGCAGGCACAACACAAACACACATAAAAAACTATATACATTTAAAAATCCCTATAGCCCTGAGGTACCGGAACAGCGATCTGTGCCCGCTGCAGTGCCCCAAGACAGGACCTATGATATGCCAAAATATTTTCTATATACATCAAGCCTTCTACAAGTGAAAATATGCTCGACCGTTATTTTATACTTGCATAACGGGCACGCATGCGGTCGCTTTCCGGCCAGAAGGTGCCCGTGAATTATTCTTGTATGACCTGTGCGTAGTCTCGTCACAATATTAAAAGTAAAATATTATTTTTCAATTAATTAAGGATTTTAATTGAGATAAAAAGTCAGTGTTATGAGCGGGATTCGAACCCACGATCTTTGGCTAGATACGCCTCTGCTCTACTAACTAAAAACATTAATTAATTGGTCAACGCGACCACGAAAACTAGTGAATTTAATAAGTTAAAATGACGTATACCTTCTTATCTTTTGAATTTTCCCTCCTTTTTGCCATTTTTCAAATGTCGTGTACTCTTTTCGATTCTCGGCGACAAATGAAATAGCCACGGAGAGCTTTAATGAATGTGTACTTCAATTTTACTTATTAAATTCACTAGTTTTCGTGGTCCGCATGACCAATTTATATATTTCAATTAATTAAGGTTTTTAGTTGAGATAAAATAGTCAGTGTGAAAAATGGTAAAAAGGAAGGAAAATTCGAAAGGTGGGGTTGAGATAGGAAGTTACTGTCCGAGTGGATCGAGGTCATGATAGCTCAAGTGGGAGAGCAGCGGCGTATCTAGCCAAAGGTCGTGGGTTCGAATCCCGCTCATGACACTGATTTTTTACCTCAACTAAAAACCTTAATTAATTGAAATATATTAATTGGTCAAGCGGACCACGAAAACTAGTGAATTTCATAAGGGAGTAAAATATTATAATGATAGCTTAGTTTACTGTATAACGTGTTAAGATTGCCCCTTCGTTTATTAATGTCAGACCAAACAATACCTCGATATCAGGTTGACGCAGCACAGATATGATTGTTCTGACCATAGTAGGCCAGGAACAGCTTTGTTAAGGCGTCATCATGAAACTAACCATGAAATAAATTTTGATGATGTGGTTATGGTTGACAGGAAGAAAATCTTGGATAGAAGATTATTAAAAAAATCCTACACATTAAATCTGATGTCAATTCTCTAAATTTGAGAAGAGATATCAATAATCTTAGCGCCATCTACAGTTGCCTAATTTAGTCCTTTCTGTCTAAGTTTTGTCATTTTGCCTATAACCACAACTGGTTACCTCGCATTTAGTAACCGCTATCATTATAATACTTATCTTATTGCATATTATATATCAATTATTAACGTTATTATTACTTGTACTACCATGATGAAGACGTCAATAAAGGTTGAAAGCTTGGCATTACAAAATTTACTTGTTTATGACGACTGCTTCCCTGATCTCGAACTTACTATAATTAATAAAAATAACAATTATTGACAATTAGGACTGCTAAGTGTTTAGATGAATTTATATATCATTTTAACAAAGGTCAACACTGGTCCTGTAAGAATTTCGGAACTATTTCTATGTCTAAACATAGTGATGATTCTTTTATATTTATGCAAATAAACATGTAATGATTAAATTTAATTACAGATTTCAAGTGTAGTGAATAAACAACACCATTGTAAAATAGCGACATTTAAATTTACCCACTTTTAAAGAAAACTAAATTTTTTTAATGCATACTTTTAACTTGATGTTAATTGCTGCCCCGGGGATTATAATTAATTCAATTATTTAATTCTAAGTGCAATTAAATTAACAAACAGCTTCTTTTGAAAACGATTCACGGCCGAGGCCAAAGCCCTGGATCCGAAGCCGAATAACGCTTAATTACGAGCACTTCAATCTTACTTTATCCCTTTGATTGATCGAAAACGGCAATCGAATATTTCCCCCGGGATTTCAATCACATTACAGACATCCCTGAAATTGTAGACCCTTTGAACATCACTGAATTAATTGAAGGAAGATAAAAAATGTTGGAAAAACTGGAAATCCTCGATTGTCCATCAATATAATTCGGCGTGGACAAAATACACTTGATCAATAACATTTACCTGTCTTTTAGGTATTTCAAAAATACGCAACTTTAGATAACATGTTAAAATACATGCAAGTTTAGCCATCTTGTAGAAATTTGACGGATTGCCTTGAACCTTGGCATAAGGTACTACTAAATTTTTGAACGTGGCAAATAAACTGTGGAAAGTTCGAATTCGTTTTATCTTCAATGTATCATTGGGTGGGAAATGTTCGACAGCAAACCTGGACTGCTTGTAACTACAAGAATTGGAGGACTACAACAGCAGTTCCTATGTCGTTACTAGATGATGGATGTACTTTCTCAACTTCCTTGTAGAGATTTCGCGCACAAGCTACTTAGAAATTGGGAAATAATTCTGTTATGATTGCACAATATGAGCAGTAAAGATATGTAACAAGTATGACTATTTTATTATACAAACTACACTGCTTATCCCCAGTTTTCTTGTTCTTTGCCGTTCTTGTTTTACCTTCTTGCAATTTATCACTTTACTTCCTTTTAAGTTGTATTCACGTCAATTAAGATTTTCTTAAAGCAACAGACCTTTTCTCTATTTCGCCTCTCTATCTCAGGGCTTCGTCAATGATTTTTTTTTTTACAAATATCAATAAAGATATATACATTTAAAAATAATTTATTCTGGTTAGCAATCATACTGCCCCAGAGTCCCGATGTTTCTCGGGGTAATTAGAGAAAAGCTCTCCATTCACGCTAATAAATTAGATTCTCTCACACCAGACTTCGTTCACACTGCCACAGATTACTCCGTGTACCAATTTTTTTTTTTTTTGACAGGGGCATCCGACAGCTTGGTCATTTCAGCCCCGAAGCATTAACATAAAATCGCTACACACTCGATACACAATCACGCCAATAAATACATTCATATATTGATCGCACTCATACTGTTTGGTAGATGGATTACTCGATATTTCTCCATCTATCTATTCCCTATAATAAACTAAACTAGATTGGGGTCGATTGGGTATTTTTATAAAATTTCCGCCATCGGCCCAAGTCATACACACAACCTGAGAGGCGTTGGAGAAGCTACTTCTCCATGAGCCCCTCTCCATTCACACCAATAAATACATTCACTCATACAAGACAAAGAAATACAAAACATATTTTGAAGGCTATATACAATAAAAAAATTCCCAATTCCCAGTAAAGAGCGGAACTCGGGACTCTGAAACTCGCTACCCTGTTCGAGAACTCTTCTTAAATCCAGCGGCATGCCTACACACTCTCTGTATGGATCCAAGGCGTGGCACGCCTCTACTATGTGGGACACATCGAAAACCTATCTCTGCATAAGGGGCACCTGCGCGGGCTTTGGCCCAAAAGCAGGTGCCCGTGTGTCACCGCGTATGGCCAATTCCTGTGAGAATCATCCCTTGCCTCCTGCTCAGGTTCTCTGAGGGCCATCTACCGGTCGTGCTCTTGAGTCGCAAGAGCCTCTCTAAAAAAATTTGTTAAAGATTATTAAAGTTAAAAAACATAGGTCACTGGCAGTATGAATGAAATTTGGTGAATTAATATAATTTATTAGCGTGAATGGAAAGTCTTCTTCCCCAAAACCTCCGAGGAACAACCGCGCCCATTGACGCTGCCATCTTTCTTTTATCATATTTTTTACTGCGTGTTTAGCGTCAGGGGGTCTGATCGCGATGGTTCGATCCGGAGGGTGGGACGTACCGGCTTTCGCCGCCTCGTCCGCACGTTCGTTACCCTCCAGGCCGACCTGTCCGGGAATCCAGACAGCAACCGCCGGTTTTCCGAGAGGCTCCAGCATTACTCAATATTCCTCGGAGGTTTTGGGGAAGAAGACTTTCCATTCACGCCAATAAATTATATTAACTCACCAAATTTCATTCATACTGCCAGTGACCTATGTTTTTTAACTTTAATAATGTTTAACAAATTTTTTAAAATTATATTTCAAAAGTCAAATTTCATTATTGAGGCCAATTTAGAAAGAAAACGTTTAGTTTTTCGTCAAACCTTCAACAATCATTCGTCAAGATTTGAACCCTAAATTAAAAATGTAGTTAAAATTTATTTTGTATAAATTAAAACTTTTAAAATATTATATATAGTATTTATTAAACGGCTCATATATTATTATTTTATTCAATTAAAATTTAATGTTGTTTAAAACCGTTTAACATAAAAACTTCATCAATTATTCATTTACATTTTTTCTTTTGTTTACAGGGATATCAAGCCGGACAACATTCTACTCGATGAAGAAGGTAAAGTGCAAACCTTAAAAACTGATTATGTTTTAATATTTTCTCGCACAGAGCTTTGAATAATTTTCATAACATTAGCATATATTCTTCGTTCGTCTCGATTCTGTCGGTCTGATAAGATTTCGAATGAAGAAAATCTCTAGACGTCCCGAAGGGCCGAAAGTGGTTCGAAGCGGAATTAGCAAACCTTAATAAATGATTTATAACTGCCGAAGGCATACGGCTTTCTGTTTAGCCCCGAACCGGTAGAAAATGAGACCCTGCCACTGGGGTTACTTGATTTCCCATTAAATAGTAAAATTATTGAATTCTCTTGAAACAGGAGAGTTGCCATTATCTTGAGAAGACCGCCAATAGCGATTGTATAATTGATGAAAGTACCATTTCATCATCATGCCAATTTAATAAATCAATAAGTACAAACGAGAGAGTGGACACATAACGAACAATTATTAAACCATTTTACGATTCAGAATATAAAATTCTAACATTTAATTTTCATATATTTTGAAACATTGTTTAAATTTAATAGAGTAATTAAATCTCCTGCATTTTTACAATTTCGTAGTTATAATCACTTCAAAAATACACTTCCCAATAAAAATCTTCAATGTTTTAGAATTTGTCAATATTGTTTTGGAAAGCCATTGTTTTGCCTTTGCTTCTTTGGCACGGCTTCCGTAGCCCTTAAAAAATCAAAAACTGCATTGTACACTTCTAAATTATTTAATTGCAGTACGGATTTATAATTAAACGGCTCGATCAGCTTTCCAATTTTGTACAGTCTGTTCAACATCTTTGTTATTTCATTAATATACCTTTTGCATTTCATTATGAGATGTTCCAGGTCTTCCCTCTCATCGCATACCGTCTTCGCCCTATTTTTTCAAATATGTTCCACTATGCCGTGCTTAGTCCTAGTTCGATTTATTGTAGTGCACTCTTTTATTGGTATTGGAAAGTTCAAGAACCACGGCCTCCTGCTGATCGTCGGTTTTACATCCCGGTAAAATTTACCAGTGGAATAGGAGTCTAGTTGCTAGTTCCATGTGTCATGTACTTCCTTTTTCAAACTGCCACTCCTCAACTGGGGGTGAGGATTCTAAATTTTGCCCTTTTTTCACAGTTTGCTTTGCAAAGCTGTCCACATTCATCTCATTGCCTTAGAATCCTCCATGTATCCAACAGAAGTTGCGTTCGACTTGCTGTTCTAATAGCCTATAGCTGAGTTCCATAATTTTGGGAACAATATAGGAGCAACCTGACTGTAAGCTGAACTATTTCATGCTCTCTATCGAGCTCCTTGAATCCGTCAAGCTAAACACTTTATCTTCCCTCAAATTTCCTCCAAATATGGCTTCCAATGCCGATTTGTTCGCTAAGAAGATAGTACTTTATTCAGTTTGTATTTTCAATTCTCTTTTGTCTGGATATCGTTCCAAGCGCATCATACACCTTTCACACTCTTAGAACCATCGGTAAATATCACATATAAAGAAGGGCACAAGATCTAAGATCTCCCCAGAGAATTTTATTGGTCATATATGCAGGTACCTCGTTATAATCCCTTAAATATATGACCCTTTTTTATAACTGTAGACCTCGTAGTCCAAGAAGTACCTTGAAGTATTAATAGAATAGAAGTACTACCATGTACTAATATACCTGTGAAAAATCTTTAATGTTTTCGAAGTACAAAGCAAGTGATTAAAACCGGGAACACACTTGCCCGATGCAACGCTATGCGACGCTACCCGATGCTACCCGACGCCTTGCCTCGTTTTATTGTAGTAGGGTGTGCTCATCTATGCGAAGCCAAGCGCACGCCACGTACAGTCACATAGCGTGTATCATAATCGCAATGCCTCTTTTGTTCATAATGCATTATTTTGAGCACAACCATGTAATAAATTGTTAGAAAAATTTAATTGTTTTAAATAAAGTTATTCCGGTGTTTTGATAAATTTTCTGTCTAATCATCATAGTTAATTATTTTTTAGAAAAACTCATGAATTTTTGATCTTGTTTAATTTGGTTTATATTAAAATAAGAATGTTGTAATTAATATAAATTACATGTACATAGTTTGAAATAGACTACAAAAAAATATGAGTGTCCTGTTCTGACGCTACTCGACGAAAATGGTGTAATTTCGTCGGTCCTGGCTTCTCTTACCTTTCTCCACTCGCAAATTCCTTGTAACTTCTCTTATACTTCCCTTCTTCGACATTGTGGCATACGGTGGTCTCTCGTAGGGGGGAATCGCGCGAATGAAGCGTATTATGAATTGTTGCGTAAGATTCGTGTTCGGTCCGTGGTCCCGGGTGTCGGGGTTGAATTCCCAACTTTCCTTGCTTATTCCCTCCTTCCGTGCACAGTATTTCTTGGGTTGTTTTCTTTTCCACTAGGTCTTTTCTACACGTGTCCCGCTTCTGGGCCCTTAGAAGAGCTTTGCACGTGACGGTTTGGCTTCCTCTGCCTAGCGGTCGTAGCTCACATTCCCCCGCCGGAACTTAGCGGCGCCAGTAAATGGCGCTCCCAGGATGGGCCCCGCGGAGGAGTCCGGCTGGGACTGGGGGAAGAGCAATGTTATTAGCTTATTAAGCTATGGCAAGCTATATTCATAGTGCTTCGGCGGCACTGCTCGTTAGGCGGGCCAGCCTTTTTGCCGCATTACGGCCTTCCAGAATCTTTGGGTGGCCTTATAACCATCTGGACTAGCGATAATATCTTTCAGTGAGTTTACGTTAGCCACCTCGCTATTTGTTTCAAACAGCCATCTGATACGAAAGATGCTGTACATTTCGCACAATAGAGCAACATGCTCAGCTGTCTCCTGATTCCTGCAGGGGCATAATGGGCTAGATTTCAGACCGAATTTGTACAGTTTTTCCGAAAAATCGCCCTGTCCGGTCAAAAGCTGCGCCATGTAGTGATCCACATGGACGTGCTTTGCCTCGACTCTCCTTTCCACGCTCGGGAAGATTTGGTATGTGTACCTGCCCTTGGTTGACATATCCCATCGGCGCTGCCACTCCTACGCTGCTTTCTTTTCCAGTCCAACCACACTCGTCATCCTCCTTACATCACCCAATCCCTCCAATTCAACTCCTCACATCACACTCGTTACACCCGCTCATCCCCAATTGACCTTATCCTTCCACAACCTACAACCCATACCTTCGAAAGATCCTTTCTGATCCGAGCCCCTAAACTCTAGAACTCCCTTCCCATTTCTATTCGTCATGCTGCCTCCTTTTCCTTCTTTAAATCCCACCTGTATAATCACCTCCTCTCGCTCCAAGCAGAGACCTTACGTTAATATTTCATATTTTTGTTCAATTTCTCAGTTTCTCTTCTGGCCTGCCTTACTGGTATAAATTGTGCCACGATTTCTATCTCATTTTACTTTTAATTTCATAGAAGGAAATTTATTTCATGTATATTATTCTTAGGGACACCAGTCCCAGAATAAAGTTATTTTTCTTCTTCTTCTTAATTTTATGAGCAAAACCGTGCAATAAATTGTGAGTTAAATTAATTATATCAAAACATGGTATTCCGGTGTTTTGATCAATTCTCTACCAAACTTTAAATTCACTAGTTTCCTGGTCCGCTTGGCCGATTAATATGTTACAATTAATTAAGGTTTTTAGTTGAGATAAAAAAGTCAATGACACGAGCGGGATTAGAACCCACTATCTTCGGCTGATACGCCGCTACTCTACCACTAGAGCTATCGTGACCTCGATTTTTGTAAAATGCAAAACGGAGAGAAAATTCAAAAGGTGCGGTTGAGAGGGGAAGTTGGTGACCGAGTGGTTAACCTTAAGTGGAAACAATGCATAGCGTGGGGGTAAATGAAAAATTGACAAATCATTTTATTTATGCCGAAAAGCTAAAATATCTCTATACACAGGGGAAAAAATTTATTATATTTCTACGCTTCAAGTCCGGCACTACCAGAGAATGCCGGTTTTTAATAAAGGAGTTAAATTTTATTAAGAAGTATTCTATACTAAATATGACATTTATTAAGTTAACAAACAATTAAAATAAACCAAGAAGAAAAAATATAAAATTAAAAAGTGACCTAATTGAACGTACTAAAAGAAAAGAACGAAATTCTGGTCAGATTTTACTGACAATATTTTACGATATATTCATTTAAATGAATATATATATAGAAAATTTCAAACTAATTGTGATGTATGAAGTGTAGAGATGTCTCGCTGAGTATGGTGCGTTCGTGCGTACCAGTGGATAGCTGAACTGGAAAAACTGACGTTCGTGCGTACTCAGATGTAAAAGAAGTTTTGTTCGTGTAGACTTCTTGAGAAAAGTATGGAAGACTGAAAAGAAGAGAGGAAAAAAAGTGTCACTATACTATATAAATTATTCGGAAATCGGGAGATGCAGTCTGGTGTGGTGTAGATTTCAGAAAAACATTTTCTTTATCGTGCCAACGTTTCGATTTTTTATTGAGATCATCTTCAGGGCATGGGATTTACTAACATTGTTTAAATTTAAAAAATACATGTAGGATGTGGAAAAAAGTGAATTTATACAATGCAAAAAATATTTGTTATATTCCATCAAAGTATTTCTAGTTACAATTTTTCTACATACCATACTTCCATTTTGCCATTTTTCAAAGGAAAAAGGAGGGAAAATTCAAAAGGTGGGGTTGAGAGGGGAAGTTAGTGTCCGAGTGGATCGAGGTCACGATAGCTCAAGTGGTAGAGCAGCGGCGTATCTAGCCTGAAGATCATGGTTTCAAATCCCGCTCGTGCCATTGACTTTTTTATCTCAACTAAAAACCTTAATTAATTGTCTCTACCAAACCATTATTTTTTTTCTAAATAAAAATTAATGAATTTTTGATCTCGGTTAGTTTGGTTTATATTAAAATAAGTATGTTGTAATTATATAACGACAATAATACATGTAGTTTGAATAAAAATATGGGTGTCCGGTTCTTTTATCTTCGACTGTACTCG